TTGTAATACAACCACACATTGATCTTATTGAGTACATAGCACATACAAATGCTCCATTCGAATGCTTGGGAGACAATACGAGCATACATACATCACATGCATTCTTGATGACAAGTGGAAATGCAAAATGTTACTCATTATACAATTACACAATTCCCTATTCATTAATTTCGGTGTGATTACACTGTTGAATCGATAAACAGATGGGATAGTAGAATGAAGAGTAATAGCCTATTATGGTAATTATATAAATGATGGTTAATACACAACGATAATTTGCATCAACTCTATTGTATCCCTCATTATTATCATTTGATATTAATGTTAGGTTGACTTTCTATTTTATTTTGTGGATATCTACACACATCCTCGACTATCATACAACCGTTCCACTCTCACTAATACAACTTAATCTACCAACACTAACAGCACTAATGGTTCTAGTATTATCACTGAGACTACCATCACAACCACCACAACGACAATTCTAGAACTTCTCTAATATTTCACAATTATGTATTTCGATTATCATCTCTCTTGTTGAAATACATTTTTGGTGAGTATTTTTGTTACTTATCAGTAGTGATATCATTCTCAGTAATATCCATTAAGGCCTGTCGATATAAGTATTATATTCGAACATTCAGAGTACAAATAAATAGTATATTTGTAATATCTCAATGAGTAGAAGAATTAGATTTTCTGATGAAGTGACTTACACCAAGCCACGAAACGTCAGAAAATCTAATTTTTCTACTCATTGGGATATTACAAATATGCTATTCATTTATAACAGTCTACCCAATGCTCAATTTATTCGAAATTATCGAAGCGAACCTTGGTAATGATACCTATATTCAGAGTACAGATAGCTTTCACACCAAACAAAATTCTGTCTATGAACATCGATTTCAATGCTGACATTCCATTTCCAACTCTCTTTCTCTCTCTCAAAATACTCTTCTTTACAGAAACCCTGTAATTAGTATTTTTCAACCACTCGATATTCAGAAACAATCTTCTACATCGTCTCAATCGTCCTCATTTTTCCGAATCTATCACTTTATCTCCATCTCCCACCACACAACTTTACCACTAAACCGATATATTTCTCTTCTCATGCTCATCCCAATCATGGTTCATATGAACATCACCGTTTCATTTTATCATGTCATTCAACATTTATCTAGTTCATCATCCTCACATCATGATAACAGTAATGGGCAAATTACTGAATATCGTTATGAGAAACATGGTATGTGAGATTGTACACTTCAGAAGTGAACTCTCCCAAAACACAACTTTTCTCCAAACTAATCTTTGTAACTCTGTGATTTCCCAATGAGTGCATTCTGTTTAGCTTTAAATTACTCTTTATGATAAATCAATGATAATCGACTGATGTGTAACAATATGAATTATTGGTTTACCATTACATATTGATAACATGAACCTGTATCAACCACTAAATGTTCATGATAACCAATATGATTTACATCTCAATCTTAATTAATCACATTTGTTGCACTTTTTCACATTTCATTACCAGACTGTAAGTTGAATTTTGTAATATTCAATTTATTGATTCCAATTTCGCTGATCATATGAGTCTCAGCAAGTACATTTTAATGCTTTCTAGCTGGTTCACAATAATTGTCACTCAATTTTAATGTGTAGAACTAAACTATACTGATTATCTTCAGTCGAATAGAGTCGATTATTTAGAATGAACATGTGGATTACTGGAGTACGACGCACTTTCTAAATGTGTTTATGAATATCCAGTTAATGCAAAACAAAATTCTGTTTTTGACGAGATTGAGTCATTCAGATAGTTTACATGATTATCTGTTCGTCCATTACTTACCGAAAGTCAAATTATTGAAAAACAGCATTCTTGACTCTAGAGATAAGATCATATTACATAGTATTATATTTTGGATGAACACAGCTATTAGACATAGTGCTCTACTAGAGAGGCCATGTTTCTTTGTAAAATGTAAGTTTTATTTTACACGACCTAGAAAACAAATTATCGAGTTAGTGATGTTTTATCTAGGTTGGTCGAGTTTAACTCTACTATTTCTAAGTTCTAAAATACTATCTCTTCTATAATTATACAATTTAATACAGTGTACTATTTGCACTGCAGTCGAACTCTGAACCGGTTTACATCTGTTTGATCAGTTTCAAAGTCACTCAAAGTATTTTTCTGAACTAAAGTTATAACTTTCTACTACCGTAACTCTATTCTTTAACGAATATGCTTTACATATTTATTCAATTTTCATATCCCATTGATCCTTTTCTCTATAAGCTGCTGTACATGGTAAGCCATTTAATACAAACTTGACTATTTTCAGTCCGAAAAATAATGTTAGAAACATAAAGTTTATCATAGTTATATAGTTACATTTACATGGAACTGATCTTATCAAAAGATTTACTTAATCAACAAAAAGCATACAAATATCCTTGAAATATTGGCAATAAATATGCATTACATTATTTTAGTGAGTTGTGGATGATACAATTTAAACAGGTATTGCAGTGGACAATATTTACTACTTATATCTATCGACATCAGTAGTATACATCACAGTATGACAGATATTAGCGAATCAATATGAATTAATAATTTGCATTTTTTAAAAACAGAAGAAGAAGAAGAACATAGATCTGTGTACGTAGTTAATGTGTATTTCATTTCTTAATTGTTTTGCATAAACATATATTCCTTTATTTTTACAATTTTTTTTTAAGTACTATTCGATAAGAGTAAGTGATGGAATATTGTCTTTATAAAATACACCATGTTGATCTTGTTTTCATGAATGTTTGATTCATTAAACTAAATATTTCTATTTGATTCATCCTTAAGATGAGCTAAAAAAACTGATGGGTTCTGATTCCAGGAATACAACTCTAAAATAGATCAAAACAAAAACAATCACGTATCCATTTATTCCAATCAATCACTTCGAAGTAAAATCATCGGAGATGATAATAATAAACCAGTTCTCATTTTTCAATACAAATTTATATTCAACACTCACATGAAGTGAAAGTCATTTCCCAACTAATATTTTTCCCTCTATGTCATTCTTTCGAACAGTCTTGAAAATTTTGTCGTTATGTAATTTTTCATTCATTTGTGAGGGTTTATGTCATCCCATTGTTCATTTTAATCACTCCAATGGATCAGTCTCTTTTTCAATACGTACATTCAGAAAGAATAGACGTGGTATTGATGTCAACTGAAGAGCATTTCAATCAACATTATGAGGCCCCCCTAGGATACAAACCGATAAGATTTCATCTTCCTTGCACAATTCAGTGGCTATTTGTAATAAGAATTTGAGTAGACGTAACATTCAGTGTCTCAAGCGGACGTTAACAGGTTGAAGTCTAGATGTAAATATAAACACGGGTGCAAGTGCAGTCAACTAATCAGACTAACAGAATCATGATGTTTACTGCTAGTCACTAAAAACAACACTTCATAATTGTTGTATAGGTTTTTTTGTTATAATTCTAGATTGAAATCAGTAGTGGGATATCAATTGTGTGATAATTTAATAACTAACCAATATCTTTACAATTGATGAACCAGTTGGATATTATTTAGTTTCAATAGATTGTCGGATGAAGTGCTGAAAAGAAATCCATACGAACTAGATTTCATTCATAGTGTAAACAGTAAAGTGATAATGCAAACTAGTGAATACGACAGCCACTAAACAAGTTGAAACTCCTGTCTCGATTCAAAAGATTGACAAAAGCATATATCACTAGGCAATGGCAAACGATCCGTAAATGACCCTATGCTTCAGTGATGATTAATCAGATGTACTTCTGAGTAAAGACAACACAAGAATATAAATCTGTATAATATATTGTAGACGTATTTCGATGTATTCACTCTGTCATTGTCATTCACAAACAACATATTTCTGATTATATGGTAAAACTATTCGGTAATGATTGGCATCGACAAGATGGACGCTAAAAGCTGGAAGACAGACAGAACAGGTTAAGAAACGCGGTCAGCGCCTTTTGACTAGTATGAAAATGATAATGTATTCAATCAACAACTCCCACAATAGTTTCAAACCTGTTATTATTATTATTATTGTCAGAAAATAATAAAGATATTCAACAGTCTTTCAATTTTTTTGTGGGTATCCTCTGAGCTTATTAATAATACAATGAGGATTCAAGAACTTTCAAATTTCTGGTGAAATAAATGCCCATTAGGCATAATTGCCACTTATCAGTAGTAATAACATTTAAAGTTACTTTGTAAATTATCCCTTATAATGAACCAATCATTATAGGCAATAGTATAGTTATAAACGTCAGTGGCTAACAGTCACCTGTTAAGGGTACAAATATATATATATCAATTAGGAAGATTCGTGCTAGGAAATATAACTTACGTCTCAATAACGATCAACCATAATTGTTTAAACTGCTTTCAAAGTGAAACATGCTCCTGGATACACCGTTTTATATTTTTGATTATACATATACTTACATCTTATATTTTTCATAGCATTGGGAAATGAATGTAAGTTATCGAACAATGTTCATTCACTAGTTCATATTTGTAATAGTACTTACACTGTCGAACTCATCACTGTATTTCATACATTCTTATGAAACTTGTATGATCATCAAAATGAGGAAGTGTATCTACTACCGTTATTATGATTTAAAGCTGACTACATAAATTGGAAAACAGTTTTGCTCTATGCAAGGAGATGTTACTGACAAATTTTTATATTTTCACTTAAAAATTTGAAAAACTGAGACAGCTTGAATTGTTTCAAATACAGATGAAAAGTCTCAGTAAATTAATAATTGATGGAAACATTTAGTTACATTTCTACACTAAACAGATTAATTTCAATAGTTGAGGTCATGAGTCAATTGAAGCTGGACCTGGAATCACCATGTTTTCAGATTTTTCATGATGATCTAGCTTCAATTGACTCATGATCTCAACTATTGAAGTTACTATAATTTGCACAAAATCCCCTTCTAATATTAAACAGATTAGGTTTAGAGTTATCAATACCAAGATTGGACTTGATAGTTTCAAATAAATTAAGCATTAGATAGAGAGTTAATAGTAAATATATTTCTATTATATCCCAATTAATAGAAAAATTATATTTCCGATGTTTCGTAACTCAGTATAAACCACTTCTTCAGAGTAAATAAATCACCGAAATTAAATGAAATTCGTGATAATTCTATTTTTGTGTAACAATAAAGCGTTTTGGCATCCACACACATCTCATTTGTGTATTAAGATAAAAGTAACTTAAAATCATACATCAACTGAACCAAATTACTGATTTACATTTAAACCATTTGAGAATATTTATCACTAGTTTCTAGTTAATTGAATAATTTTCTGGTTAGCGTTTTTTAGCGAGTTAGTTTTCTACGGGATGGGGTCGCTAACACCATGCCCAACCCTCCTCATTTGTCCGGGCTTGGGACCGGCGATAGCCCCCAGAGGGACTCCAGGCGGACAATCTTTAGTTAATCAGTCACAATATTTAACATTAAAAGCATTAGTAAGTCCCTCTTTATAAACGGTAATCTAATCACTCATGCGAAAATGTAAACCACACAATAATAGACAAGCTTTATTAAGACATTTACAACAACGTTATAATAAATTAGGCCAAATCGATTTTTATTCCCTGAAAGAAATCAATAGAATCTATTACAAATCTTTTCATAGAACTATCTTATCTTGTAAATAATACATCCCATTTACTCGTTGAACGGAATGGCTGATATTCAATCATAATATTCCAATATAAGAAAATACTTTTCTTAAACCAGATTTATAATCTATCATCAACAGCCTCATCCATGAGATAATCATATATTTGACAGTTTGTTTACCTACTGGGAATTACAATTCACATCAAAATAGATATTATTTAGAAGATGATTTAAGACAACGTTACCTATCTACGTTGTTACTTCATTTAAATTATTTGTGCAAATTGATATTTTGAAATACTTTTCAAGCTATACCTCGACCTCGTAAGTCATCAAATCATATCTCGATCATATATATACATCACTTAACGCATGATTTATGTATAGTTTGAACAGTCATGACAAACATTGATAGATGGTGAATATCATTAAATATGACATATTCTTTGTGGAAAGACTGTTCTTTTAAAAAATACAATGCTGTTTATTAATAAAGGTTCAAGTTCACCTATGGGGATTGTTATAACTTGTGGCCTGAGTGTCCTGCTAACGTATACGTAACGATACCGCCAATTAGAGAGCAGTGAATTATAGATCGGATCAATGACGCCTGAAACCCGTACGAGCAGTGTAGAGTACTTAACGGCAATGCTTCCTGCCTAGTATAGCCAGTTAAGTCCAGAACACCAATCTCAGCCTCTGCAATATCAATCATTTATTTCAAACATTTTGGGTTTATATACCAACCAGACAGACCACATCGTACCAATAAAAGAGGAAACAACATTTATACGAGATTTGGCCAAATGTGTCTGTGAATGTGGGAGGTAGTAATTAATAGACGAAAGTTACCATTCATTATGCTTATCGGGACATAACAGAGATGATACATCAATTATGTCATAATCAATCTCTTTCAGATTGATATTTCAAAATTTACACCATTTTACATAGTTAGTCACCGATATTTAATTGATTAGTTAGTATTTCTCATGTTGGCGTCAACAATCTACTGAACTGAAACAATTAACCACTTTCCACTCCCAAGTGAACGATCAACAATATTAAAGCAGATCAATTGTTACAAAGATTGTTAGGTTCAATTAAACATTTCAAATTCCAATCTCCAACTTTTATGTGATAAGTGTTTTGAAAATAAGTAATGAATAATACACTGTTGACTTAATACTCCAGCAGGAGTATGTATAATTCTGTTTCTTTTCATTGAACTTAGTTGATTGGAACAAATTGGAAAAAATAAGTATGTTTTAACTTGTAAAACTCGAGAAGATAAGCCTTACATATATCGTTTTGTGAAATACGTGTTTATTTGAATAAAATCCAATAATAACTCTGCACACATCAGTTGAAATTCATTCAATAGTATTTGCCTCAAAATCATCCTAGTTGAGTTACCACTGGATATAAGTGAGACGTTGACAACTATTGATATATTAGTTGCTAAATAATAATATTTTACAAACTGTGATTATTCTGCTCATTTCTATGATTTATGATATAAGTCTATGAGCGTGCATACTTAACATATAAATAATGTAACTTCAATAGTTGAGATCATGAGTCAATTAAAGCTAGACCACCATAGATAACCTGGAAGCACTGAACGGCCGTTTCGTTCTATTGTGGGACTCCTTAGCAGTGCGTATCTACGATCTCACCTCGCGGGATTCGAACACAGGACCTATAAATAATGAATAGTATCATTGTGTTGTACAAATAATTCTGATGTTCAAGAAGATAATATGGATGGTCATTATTAAAAATGTCAAACTGCAATCTGAGTTAAGTAATCAACATTTTCAATAAAATATTCTTTGTCCCATTTACAGATGATGTAGAAAGCGGAATGGCTTATTTCAGACAAAATGAAGAGTTACTACATGCCACAATAAGTAAGTGAAATATGAACTGATTTCTGTACGTAAATACGTGACTAAGAAAATCTACATGTCTTAAACATACTTTCATGCATAACACAACTTATTAACACGTAAAAACGAAGTTGAAAGACAGAGCAACTATATATAGTAACGAATTATGTAGTACATTTTATCTACTTAATCTTTTTTGAATGGTGTCCAAGTGAAATTCATTTTACAACAACTAATCCAAGAAACCTCAAACACAGTCCCCTATTTGCCTCACAGTAGTTCCAACGTTAAATTGAGGAGTTGAACCTTTTGAAATATATATATATATATTTCTCCTCATCAAGACTCTAACAGTGTAATTACACGAATAACGGTAGAGTTAGTGCGATCGAGTGATGCTACCAGTTATATACACATGTTTCATGTTTTTGCGCTGCTATTTATTCTGGTATTTAGTGGTATATATCACACAAACTTAATCCTTATGTCTATCAATACTTTTCTAAATAACGGATAGTCATCTGGTAGGGTGATTGATAAATGTCGTGTTTCATGATTTACATCACAGTCTAATCTTAGTGAGACACCCAGCGTAAACCTATGTGCACTCAACAATTGTTTCATTATAGCATGAAACTCCTCAGTAGTGTGCAAACATCACCGATCAAGAGGATAAAACACATGGTTTGGATACGTTTTGCTCAGAAGTCTAGATGTTTCATAGTTTGCAATGATGTAAACAACGAACTGTACTAATCTCTCGTACCTAAATAATTATTTGTTTCAAGAATTTCTAAGAATAAAACTGAATACATTTTATCGTTTAACTATATGTCTGTTTCTTTCAGATAACATTATTCAGAATAAACCTAAAAGACTTAAAGCGATCCAAAAATGTATGTTTAAAATCAAGATTATTTACATTAAATCTCATGGTTTATTTTAGACATGAGGTGTAAAAATAAACAACAACATGAAGAATCCTTCAGTTTATTTCTCAAAGGTTTGAACAGATATTACAAATAAACTTTTGTTGAAGTGTAGATCTTCTTAACTCATCATTCACACGCATACATCATTACACTGATTTGTTTCAGTCATTTTGATTTTTCACAAATCAAATAGGATCATAAATCATTCTACTTCTTTATTATACTTACTTTCTAGAAGTTACACTAGACGACGAAATGATAATTAGCGTGATAACACTCCTGATCTGTGTTAAAAAACCGTTAACATTTCAGATCATTTAAATCAAATGTGTTCAGATGAATTAGAATGGTATTACAGCATATATACTATGTTTCAAACTATCCAGATTCAGCAGACAATCTCTCTTATATTATCACTACCAAGATGTAACCACATAATTTGAAGTGAATAAAGTTGTAGGCTTAAATAACATGACAATTTTCTGGTCACCATTATTTGTGTGTATTCAATCACCTTTCTGTTTAAAACTGGCTCTAACTGAAGGAGACTACTGATTCGTTGAACAGTTTGTTTAAATTTTCTCCAGATTTATAAACTCATTAATCTTTCTATTTATCACAATATTACGAATAAGCAATCTATATATGTAGTTAATTTGGAAATATTTCACCAATAGTGAAATTCGACTGTCAACACAAGAGCTCCATTATGGTTACAAACTAAAACACTATTATCTTATAATCTTTAAACATAACTAAGATTATTCATTTAGTGTAGTTTACTTGTATTATTATTTAGGACTACAATTGATCAGTCTTTTGTTGGCATATGTGCATTCTGTGTGGACTGCCTCGATATTGCGTGAAGTCACAAGCTTTATAAACAAAAATGGATAGTGGCTGGAAGTGGATTCCAGGTTGCGCGTTTCGTCTCATTTGAGACTCGTCAGATGGATGTTCACTCTGAGACTCAAACCCAGTACCGTACGCTTCAAACGCCATCACGTTATCCACTTATCTATTGAGTCGTGATAACCACCTGCTTGTGCATTAGGGTGATGAAACGCACGTCCTGGGTTCCACTGCTAACCACTATCTTGCTTTCCTTATAACTAAAATTAGATCTCATTATTCCTATTGTTAGATGCCATACAAATGAAAATCTGTTTATCTTCATTTTAATCTTTTAGAAATGAATAAACAGTTTCAAAATGAGAATCTGATGTCATGTATGATTTTGTGTTTTTTTTCTTCTTCTTCTTTAAATAATTGTCTCTTATCATATTGAATGTAGATTCAATATCGATGGTGCTTATCATGTTGAAGACTTCTATTTACAATATTCGCTTTTGTGTACTGTTCTCCGAAAATGTTTTCATACACGTAATATATGCATGTATATATGTATATATAACTTCTGAAAACAAAAGCAGTCACTTGTTTTCATTACAGTGAACTATTTGAATTGAAGTAGTAGATTTGACATTTAGTTGTTATAGTAATCTGTTTTTCCTACTATAATTTTGAAGTTAATTTCATCTACTTTTCTTGTGTATCATTGATACAACAGTTCCTGATTATTCAACTCTGAAGGACTGCTTCATAAAACAAGAAAATATTTTAGAAAGTCAGTGAAAATATTCTTAAATGTGTAGTTACATAAATAATATGTACATTTCTCATTCAATTGCCATATGAAAATTGGAATGGTCTATAAGGCTTACGGATGATCATTACACATTCATGAATTCAATAAATATAAATGATGTTTCACTGTAGACAAATTGATAATGAATGAATTGTAGATGAACATTCCTAGATCTAAAACTAAAAGACAATTAGTGTTCACTGTTACCTATTTATTTTTAATTGGTCCTTTCAACATAAATTCTTGGTGAATAATACTTGTTCAATTCAATAGAGGATTTCAGAACTCATGAAAATGTCTGGAAAATACAAACATTCACAAAACAACCGACGTACAGTTGACTTATTTCAGATGGTATTGGGCACTGAATACTTATACAGTTCACATTATAATAGTCATTCGAGTGGCTGTCATTCCAGACACACTTTCGAGGATAGGCAAAGCAAATAAACTTGATCGAGGCTGAACAAACCAGAACTTTGATCGTTCTTATCATAAACCAATAAATGATAATGAATTCACCGCTTTATTTTGATCACTAATAGAGCATGAACTTGATGATACTAATCGAGAAATATGTAAAATACTGACTTTTTATAAAAGGATTATAAATATATCCTTCTCCGTCACATATTCTTCTGTTCGCTGCCATCTGGATCGTCGAATTATGAAAGATTCATCTTCCTCTTCTGAACAGATAACTTTCACAATTCATTTGGTGAAGTATCTTAAAGTTGAAATAATGTGAACCGATCAGCTATGAATGTTTAGGGAAATAGACGTTTATATTTAATCAGACTACTGGTTTTTTGAGGAATTTTCAAAGCTTCTATCCACTTCAAATGCTGATCAGTTCAAGTAACAAAACCAATATGAAATTATTCGTTTGAATTTTATTTCCAGGACAGAAGTCTAATAACAAAAATGAAGTTTGCAAACCACCTAAGACATTCTATGGACAAGGTAAATTGAAATAAGTGATATTCATTATGATGCATTTAAACAACGATGTGTTCTCATAAATTGTAACTAATTATTTGTTTCTAATATCATCAGAAATTGACAGCTACTTTCTCGGAGTTTTAAAGAACGTTCATTTATCAAGTGTTTGTCCATCAGTATAGGGTTCTGGAGATTGTTCAACTTCATTAAAATAAAGAAATGAGCAAAGTCATATGACTGTTTAAAACTCAAAGCACGGAACGGCCGTTTCGTCCTAGCGTGAAACTTCACCATTTCGAGTCCACATCCACAAGAGTCAAAATCAAATACAAAACTTTCTTGGACTGATTTAAGTTGAACATATCCACTATTGGATCGGAACCCCATCGTTTATAGATTGAGAGTTTGTATGAGAGACCATAGATACTGAGTTTGATTCGCTCCAGTTAAGTCGTGGATGCACTCTGTTCAGAAGTCTAATACTAAAACGAAATGATCATCCATTGCTTCGAGGTTTTCAATAGTTCTCTAACTTTGGTCGGTTTGCGATTTAGTGAAACAATTATCTGTCTACTACCCTTGTTTATGAACTGCAAGGGTTGAAGCTATCACGAGTTCACTTAATCTGTGAACGACAAACAAGACACAGTGACCAAAGACCAGTAAGCTAGCTATTGATGCGTCCCAGCCCCGCCAACTAGATGGAGAACTCCAAGCTCCCGATGGGGAAGTATATTCTGAAAACAGCCAGAAACGAGCGATAACCACAAACACAATACAAAACGTACATATACAGTACAAAACCGTCCTTGGGGAGAGTTAGCGAATAGCATACTAAAAGACGCAACGGACCAATAGCATTTAAGATATTTCCCAGTGGAAAATACGACATGAAGGTGTCGAGTGCTTTTAGAGAAAATAAAGAAATTCAAATTTGCTAAATAAAATTAAGTCCTTTAGCAAGTGAGTTCTGGGGATCTAACGTCCTCAACATGAACAACTTAGTTAAATGATTCTAGCGACAAATGATTGACACCAATATATTCATTGAATTGACCAGATAAAAACGCCATATTTTCCAAATGTTTCATACATCCTGAGTGCTTAATCAATCTGAATAAGTTGAGAAGACTGGGATTTGCAGAATGAAGTAGATTTACGGCATTTCAGTGCTTCTCATTCACTGCTATTAGTCCAAACTGACGTTAGTAATGTTGCTTCATACAAGTTTGAAATAATATAACGGCTAAGTTTCATCGATTAATGTATATAACAATTTCACCGATGTAACATCTAGCCGTTTACATCCAACGGAACTCTAGAAATATCATAGATTCTGCGAATCTTGCTCTCGGTTTACAAGTGTGTTTTCAACGTTCGTAAACCAAATTAAATTATCCTCCATCATGCTAAAGTTGAAATTTACATATACAAAGTTAATTTCTGAATATTCCTACTACTCACATCTTAATTCCAAAGTAATGAACGTTCATATGAGAAAGCATTTAGCATTTATTAACAGACAAGACAATAGCCGTTGAACTCCTAAGAGTATAGCTAATGATTATTTTTACAATTATTCATTTGTATACTTCATTTTATACCAAACTGAAAAAGTATAGATCGTTAAGATGAATTCATCAGTATACTTTTAAAATTGATGGAGAACCTTTCTCATTCTCTTTCTAGATATTCAGGTTCTGAATCAGTTAATTTCTAAGAAATACGATATTTTGTGGAGATGGAACAAAGCATTATGTAAGTATAAGTAATAAAATATTGTATATCCTTTATGAAGGAACTGTTCAGAAGAGAGTTTGAAATGTTCCGAATCTTTAGATTCATACACATACAAACAGTTTGTCAAGTATTCATATATTGTGAAGAGAGTCAATAGATTATGAAAATTTGAAAACATTTATGAGCAATTTATGTGACTTAGTAGGAATAACTACATAGTCCACTGCTTGGAGTTAATCTCATCGTTTGCAGAACGACAGATCAATCATTAATATGTATTTTACTGTACAAAATAATGATTTGTTCTTTCTTTGACATTTCAGTTAACTACGAATTCGCTTCGAAATATATGGAGCACACACTAATTTTATTACAAAGGGTAATTCAAATTCAGTTCCTCTTTTAGAAACTATCACAAGTTTCGCCATTTTGTGTTTGTCTCATGTCAGTTATTGCAATATGATGTCATTTAAGACAACTGGTTAACTGATTTGTTCCATTCAGACATACTTTGTGAACACAACATATTAAACATATCCAATGGTTGTTAAAACAATTGATCATGTCGACTTTAATAAAGTCACCATCAAACCGATAACTTTTGCCAATGAATATGTTTCAAATCTGTTGACGGACAAGGTTAAAGGACATCAAACATTTCAGTTGATATAAAATCTCGAGATGGATAGAATAACATTGTATTCAGCAACAGTAGGTATGGATTGTAATCAAAGTGTCCTGCTTGAATGATTGGGCTACCTGTTCTTGACATCTGTATATTTCAACAAGTTATCTGTATCCTTGTTTGTTTTAATACATCATTATGTCTATTAATCGCATAACCTATTCAGGTGAGTTTGTGAAAAGTTTACGACATTGCTCTGTTCAACTTACAAAAGAGCCCAATCAAAGGCATCGTGGTTGCTGGTAATATGCATAGAAAACAATATGCATTAATCAGATGTCGATTTCTGAACTGTGAACATCTAACTGGTGACCATCCAATATTTATCGCAAGGGTCGATCAAAAAACAAGATAAAGAAATCTTGTTGAAATACTTTGTGCTGAGAATCCCACATTGTACTAAAAATGTAATATTGAATAAAACCACTTAATAATAATAGTAAAATCAATTGAATTCGTAGAATAACAAGAAATTTCAATTTCTTTTACAGATATATAACGACTTTTAATAAAATGCTGGTTGAAAATGTCCATCACAAATATTGATCACACTAGTTCAATCTTATTTGTTCGGAGATCCCGTTAAAGATCTTGTATTGACATTTAATAAATTGCCTTAACAACCAAGTTTAAATAAAAACCATGTTTTATTCACTTGATATTGTTTTACTTGAATTTTCCCATTGATGTTTTTGGACTGAAATTGATCAGTCTCTTATTGGCATATGTGCATACTGTGCGTATGCCTCGATATTGCCTAAATTTACAAGCATTATAAGCAAAGATGGATAATGGCTAGCAGTGGAATCCAGGACGCGCGTTTCGTCCTGTTTGGGACTCGTCAGCTGGATGTACCTGCATCTCAGAGTTGATGTTCACTCTGGGACTCGAACTCAGTACCGTTCGCTTCAAACGCCATCGCGTTATCTACTTAGCTACTGAGTCCTGATAGCCACTTGCTTGTGCAATGGGTTGAAGTTGAATTCACTTGATATTGTTTTACTTGAATTTTCCCATTGATGTTTTTGGACTGAAATTGATCAGTCTCTTATTGGCATATGTGCATACTGTGCGTATGCAATATCAAGTGAATTCAACTTCAACCCATTGCACAAGCAAGTGGCTATCAGAATTCAGTAGCTAAGTAGATAACGCGATGGCGTTTGAAGCGAACGGTACTGAGTTCGAGTCCCAGAGTGAACATCAACTCTGAGATGCAGGTACATCCAGCTGACGAGTTCCAAACGGGACGAAACGCGCGTCCTGGATTCCACTGCTAGCCACTATCCATCTTTGCTTATAAAAACCATGTTTGTTTGAGAGATTTGTTCTGTTCCTAGAAAAATGTATTTTCCAAATAATCATCAAAGATTCATAGCACAGTAATGACCTACTGTTATCAAGAGCACGCGATTTGCGTAATGGAAGCAATTTTTATTATAACCAATTGTACCAGGGATTGTTTTACCGTACATGTTTGTTTAACTGTACCAAAATACATACATTTTTCCGTTGATTGTGACCTTGCGCGAATTCGGTTACCCTCAGTAACCACACTTGTATCCTGGCACGATCTCGGTATTCTTTCGACACCACGAGATCACAAACAAATACATCTCGACTACAGCCATCAACTGCCTTCTGGTATTTGGCTTACGAGGGATCTTATCGGTTAACTGGCATGTAGTCTTCCTGTAGTGGTGATCATAGTCAACCACGACTCAATGCCACACTACAGCACAAACTCATTAGATTTATGGGATGAAGTTACATGCCAATCAGTTATGATCATCGCGTAGCCTTGGACAAACCAGAATTAAATAAAGCTGACATACCATATAAGTACGACATTAAGAAACAATACCCAAACAACACAAAAAAGGGAAATAAAGGCGAAGAAAGAGGAAATAAAGCGGACGAAAGCGTAAATAAAGGGGAAATGTCGCTTTTTCCCCCTTACGTCGTGTATTTGGCGGAAATTTGTCGACAATTATACGTAACGTACAGTATTTGAATGAACCGCATCCAGAACTTAAGTTTTCATAAACTTCGACAAATTAAGGCACCGCTTAATAAAAAAAACAAAACTAATGTCATAAAAACAAGGTACAAATTAAGGAACCAGGCATTCGGTTGAGACTCATATACACTGACTTCTTTTTTTGTTTAGCTAAAGTATTTCGACATGCTTGGGAGCGATCACAAAAAGCTTACGTGATGCAGGTGAGTGACGTGCTCTCTGATTTTCATGTTCATTGTGACTGATTACCTTGTTAGGCCAATAATGTGAGTTTTGTTGAAGTCAATGATAATGTTCGTAGACGTAGAGCCACTGTGAACTTGTCACGTTCCCTTGGCTGTCATACATCCACATATAACAAAAGGCGGAATAAAATGCGAGCCGCTTTCATGAAAAAATATGACTTTCTTTAGTTCAGTGAGTTTGCTAATGAAAGCACCCTGAAAGGTAAATGAGTTCAACAGTGTTGTTTATAAAATTGATAGAAGTAAAGAGAGAAATATGTCGTGATGACAGAACTTCAACTGTTACACCATCCACTAGCAACATCAATCACACGCTTTCAGATAATAGTGGTATGTACATTGAATTCATACGGGAATATATATCTTATAGAATGTACTGAAGTAAACTTGTGCTCTCAGAAGTTCCTAAATCGCAAAGAACTGATGAACGACTTCATGATGTATATAATGTCAAATACATCTCTGAGCATAAGAGATGCTGATCGGGTTCTGTATGGTCTACGATTTCTTATGCCGGACATACCGAAAAGCGTCAAAGTTGTCCTGAAGACGTGTCCAAGTGTTCAACCAAAGTTAATCGGCAGTGGGGTTTACTACCATCTAGGACTGAAAACCAATCTGCTAGGATACGTTAAGCTTTGGTTGTGTACTATTGATTTTGACTCTTTAAATTTATATATCAATATAGATGGACTTTCTATGTCTAGAAGCTCCAACCAACAGTTATGGCCTATACTAGGAAGGATCATTGCCCCTAGGTTTAGTGACGTGTTCATGATAGGGATCTACGGAGGGAATAGTAAACCGGCAGAATTCAATGAATTTTCTGCGGACACAATTTTTGAAATAAATGAAATGACTGACGTGGATCTTTTTAGTGTTAAGTTTAACAAATGCATAGCTATTAGATTGGCGGCTGTTATATGTGACGCACCTGCTCCTTCTTCTGTTAGGTACACGGCAAAACGTAACGGTGAGGCAGGTTGCGATAGGTGTACTGTAATTGGGAGACGGCTGGAGGGGAAGACGACCTTTCCAAATGGGGTATATACTTTAAGAACAGACGACACTTTCCGTCGTCAGACTCAATCTATTCACCATCAAGGACATTTTATTATGGAAACGCTTCCTATTAATATGATTATAACTTTTCCTTTAGATCCTAAGCACATGGCCTACCTTGGTGTTACAAAAGAACTGGCGAATTTATGGATAGATTTAACACACAGAAGACTGTTGAACTTAAGCTCATGTGCAATTAGGGAAATAAATAATGTAATATGAGGTTGCGTGGCAAGTACTCCTACCGACTTTCCGCGTAAATGCCGTACACTAGACTTTGTATCGGCCTGGAAAGCTTTGGAATGTGGGTTGTTCCTTCTGTATTTAGGCCCAGTGATTCTTCAAAAAACATTGCCACAACATTTGTACCTTAACTTCCGGCGTTTAGCGTTATCCATGTATCTGCTTGCACATCTGAAATTACATAATACTGTTTTAGAAACTGCCAGAATAGATTTACTAAACTTCCTGAAGGAATACGAATGATGTTATGGGTCTGAAAACTTAGTTTACAATGTGCATTCCTTACAGCGCCTCCCTGAAGACGTTCGTGCAAATGGACCTTTAGATAGCTTTTCAGCCTTTCCATTCGAGTCTTATATGAGACAAATTAAGGATTCTGTGCGTAGTGGGTTTGCAGTAGCTAAGCGAGCAGCACAGCGTTATGCTGAGAGAATGTCCTTCAGCGATAGGCTTCAAATTAGTGGTTTAACAAATACTACCCCAATAGGCGCTAATGATGTCTCCAATAAAGAAGTAATTATGTTTAAGAATAGTAAAATAACTTCATTTAGGCCTGATAATGTAGTAGTAGTAAACGGACAGCCTGGTTTAGTAATTGATATAAAGGAGGATGGGCTACTGAAGTTTAGGTCTTTCACTGACCCACGCAATTACTTCGAAAATCCTTTCCCATCTAGTGATATAGGAATCCTTATGTGCTCCGTAGTTAGCCATGAATACACATGGGTATCGGTTAAGGACAATGATTGTAAATGTATAGCCATAAATTGTATGAATTATCTAGTTCTAATCCCATTGTTGCATACTATAATGTAAATGTATTTTGTTTCATCAGTGCTTAATTAATTATGATTAACCATTTAATTACGTCTTATGTTATATTTATCCCGCTAACAAGCAATACGCCATTGTTGACGCCCGTATCAAGAAACAACTCATGATAGCATCCAAGAAAAAGATTGTTAGCGAAGAACTGTGCCTTTATCCAACGGGGCTTGTCGATATCCACCTACAAAGGTGCTACCAACCAGATGAAAATTGGGCAGTTCTGAAATGTAAAGTCATTGACGAATTCGGTTAGTAACAAACATAGAAATTATGATTTACTATAGATTCTCTGCAGTCGGCGAAAGATGTTTTACTTTTAATGCAAATACTGGAATCTCACCGTAGAAACACTTCTACGGATGAGAACACATTGCCACAAAACAGTGAGAAGCCCAAGAGGTCAGTACAATAATCTTACTAACATTTCCTAGAGGTGTGATGAAGCGTAAAGATTTTCTTTACAATTCAGTCGACATGGATGTGGCTGAGATGCAGGCTGGGAATAGCCGCGTACAATATCCCGAATTCCGGCTGTTCGACAAATTCGTATTGCCAATCGCCAAGTAGGTTTTATTACTATTTAGATATTCACGAATCAGTTCGACACAATTAGAGACATTACCATCCACATCGGAATCTAAGCATGTAGGTGGTGCTATAGCGGACCAGTAAGTAACCTGCATCATCTAGTGACCTTTCTCAGCTGTGATAGGTTGTATACAGTGGTGCTAAACATGTCATCAGCTATCACTGACTTGACTAAAACGATGAACAGCATATCATCGGCCATTACTGACTTGAACATTAATGTAAAGCAATTACTACACAAACAGGTCTCTAGCAATAAAAGATCTGGAGAGCAATAAGATTTGCGTGTATCTATTTAAATGTGACCGATTATGAACTATGCTATTTATTTTCTACATGAGTGACCACGAGCTTAGTCGCCGTCAGTTTGACTGCAGCGTACTTCAACATCAGTCAATATCACGCATCGGATTAGATGATAATTACACTGAAATGACACAAGTCCGAAACTAATTATTCGTGAAGATCTGGTCTCATAAACCAAATAACTACATTTTCAAAAAGGCAAACAAATGAACTCAAT